TGTGTGTGTGTGTGTGTGTGTGTGTGTGTGTGTGTGTGTGTGTGTGTGTTTTCAGTTCTTCCAGGAGCAGGCCAGGGCTTATGTTTGTTAAGCCTCATAGCAGAGGGGATGAATCTGGCCCTGCCTGTTTGTTTTTGAATACAGGGGCAGCATATCTCCGGGCCAGAGGGCATTCTGAGGTGTGGTTTCTGTAGGGATCTATTGATGTTATCATGACAAAAGTCCAGCTGCTTTTCTCTCCTCTTCTGTTACTGAAACATACTGCTCAGGTGGGCAGTATCCAGTTTGCAGGTGTAAAAATCCCCTATGACCTTGGGAGAGCCAGTAAAGGCAGTTTCTAGCTTTACATACATACATTGATCGATTGTCTGAGAAGCCCTGGTTGTATTAGCTTATGGTAGAATATAAACAGCTGCCACAATCCCCTACCCAAACGGACCCAAAGGGAAATGGACAACAGTTCCAGCTCTCACGTGTCTTTAACATGCACAGAAGAGCTTCAGAAATCCATTTAACTGAGTCATCTTGTTATGTAAGACCTCTGTTAGCCAGTTCTCTGTAAAACACAAGATACAAAAGATACACACATCCCTGCATTCTTTCACGGTGTTCGATGATGCATACATGCACCTGTCCTAAGAAGAGTTTTGTCATTTTTATCAATATAAAACTTCCATCATACCCTTCATGACGTGAGCATCAAGGTCGCCAGACGTTGATGCACATATGGAGCTGTCATCTGGTGGGAGGAGTTATTTTGACCCCACTTCCTAAAGCGCTGCAGGCCAACACTATCAACTGCCAGTACAAATGTATTTTTAGAGTTTCAAGGAACATGATGCAATACATAATTAGAAAAATAAATACCTAATGTATCACCTTTCTGGAGTAAAAACTACTCTTTCTCTCGTTTATCAGTATCTATATGATTTGTCGTCACAGATTATGTCCACAGAATAATTATTCAAACCACACTGGCCAGAGACTTCTTCAAATAACTGCTGGATTATGTTAAATCTGAATCCAAATATCTGGCAGCAGACCACCACAGTCTGCTTTCCACCCCACTCTCACAATCAAACATATTCAGGTACTTAGAGTCCACTGAGGATTATGTCTGGTCAACCAATGAAGTTTTCATATGGGCTTTTTGAGAGGATTACACAGCAACATGACCACGAGTGCGAGAGAAAGAGAGAATCAAAGTGAGTGAGGAATGTTCTAGAAAAAAAATAATAAATTATATGAATCAGCATTGTCCTGAGCAATGAGGGAGGAAACTAGTATAACTTGATTTCTGTATTACCTAACTGTTAAACAACTGGGTGTAGTTGAACAAAATGAAGATGAGAACCAGAGGATAGTAACAGCACGCGTTTAATTCACACACTGTGGGAATAAATCTGATATTTAACTCAAGAAAACACATCACTGAATAATAACTGAATAATGCTGCAACCATATGGTTTCCCCAACCGGCCTTACTCTAAATCTTTCTTGTGTACAGACTCCCTTTGCTGATCAGTGAGGGATGGAACAAAGAGAGTCTGCCATCCAAAGTGGAGGACATTATTTTCAGCTCGTCTTCATCACCATCTTTGTAGGAATGACACATTGATTCGAACACCTTGTGAATGACCTCATGCCCAGCCAGGGCAAAAACAAGGTGAAATGTCAGTCTTTTGTAGATCCACCACACATTCATTCTCTCCATTAGTGATCGTGACTGTCAGGGAAGCCCATTATATAACCCCGGGCCCATATGACTACACACACACGCACACACACGCACGCACACACACGCACACACACACGCTCTTGTTGAGCAGCCACAGGACAATCAATGGTAATGCTGACCACAGCTGGTCGACTGTGGCTAAGTGGATAGCAGGGCCCTCCTTCAATCAGAGGATCGGTGGTTCGTTCCCCGGCTCCGGCTCTGCTAGTCGCATGTCAATGTGTCCTTGAGCAAGACACTTAACCCCAAAATTGCTCCCGTAGCTGTGCCTACGGTGTAGAAATGTGATAGAATCTGAATTGTAAGTCACTTTGGATAAAAGCGTCTGCTAAAAAAAAAAAAATGACTGTAATGTCTTCCAATCAATTCATTGAACTTGAGAAATCACACCATTTTACACAATGTGATTTACATGAAACACATGGACATGCAATAGTATTGTACACAAATCCAACTTTAAAACAACAATCAAATACACACCTAAGACATTAAGTATTAGAAAACCTTTTTATTTGAAGAAACCGTGTTCTTACAGGATTAGTGTTTCAATGTAATCTAGATTAAAGTGGAGCTGTGCGTCACTGCCCTTTAGAAATTGCTGTTTTAATTCATTAAACTACTCACTTTGACCAGTATAGGGTGGACAATATTGTGACCACTTCACACTATTCACACCCTGACACACACTCAAATACACACAGAACATTCTGCTGAGTGCTGAGCAGTGAATGTCACCAAGATGATTACAGTTACAATGACAACCGTAAGATCCTTTCAACGTATCGTCTGCCCATGCACATGAGGAATGCTTATCACTATTTCCTTTCAATTAGATGTTGTCGTGTTATAGGTTGGAGTGAGTGACCACTGTTTTAAAAGGAAGTATTGGAGCCCTTCACTTTTTAATGTCCATAATTGTTATAATAAAATGTTTTTAAAAAGACTGGAGGAAGTGCATGCACTTTGACCAAACCTGCTCAAGCTCCCAGTCCCCTTCCAGTTCCCCCTCCCATGTCCTCCTATCATTCAAACCAAGCTCAGCAGAAACGCTATGTTAGCAAAGTCCAAATCCCCCTAAACTACAGAAGACGGAGGTCATATGACATTTATTTCAAAACAGTTATGTGAGTGAAGTCCTCAGACACAATCTATTAAATTAGCTAACATAATTTGTATGGGTTGTATTAACCCTTTGAAGGTATTTCAACAGGTTAAAGGGATTGGGATGGGCTATAATCTGTCAAAAATAACTCCCATGAAACTACACCACACCCAGGCTATGCCTGAGCACAAGATGACATAGTTGTAATATATGGTCAATCATTCTCTTTTTTTTTTACTATGCGTTTTATAAATGTTATTCTAAGCTAAGTAGTAGGCTATACCCTGATATTTTGCAGAAATACTTCACCCAGCTGCCACAGAGTCCTCCAGCCACGAGTATATAAATGTGATTAATGAGAAATAAAAAATTAGAACCCATATATGTACATTATCCATCTGTTTTGAAATGGATTAGTGGGCCAGTGTATGACCTCCAGACCCCCGTGATTTTTGATCCTGTTCTCATGGCTGCTTGTTTATCACACGGTTCGTGTGAGGGTCTGAGGTTAAGATTTACTGCAGTGAGTCATATTAGTAAGCTGTTGTCCAATAAGGACTGTGCCTTGTTTTGTTCCCAAGCAAAGAGAGAGAGTTTCAGTATTATTCAAGTTCCAACGTAGATGCAATAATTGTGATTTTTCTTTTTTATTGAACGGGGATTAAATGTAAATTTGTGTTGTTTTTGTGTCCAAGAACAATACATGCTGATTACACTTTCTGTGCCTGTATGACAGGAGTCAACCAGTGCACAAGCACCTGTCTGAAAGTCTTCCAAAGAAAAAAATGTTTTTACATTTATATTAAATTAAAGCCAAATTTGTATTGTTCTTCTCTCTTGTCCTAAATTGTTTATTTAAATTCTACTGAACCATAACATTTGTTTATCACAATGTGTAACTATTACACTGCAACTCTGCACAACTCCGCTGAAACATTGTACACTGTACATGTTTTTGTACATAATGTGTGACATACAGTGTTAATTCATAATTATTAATACTGCGTCACTCCATCCTTTATTATGTAAATAGATTTTTGGTTCATATTTTTGTTACCCATCATCAAAATGATAAAAAAACATCGTCATGTTTTGTACCTCAGGTCGGGGTATATGAACAACTAAAGCCCTTTTGAAGAGTTGTGCCTGTATTAATAGCTGTGTCAGCATTGGTAGCAGCTGCTCTATGCTTTGATTAAATTAATGGATTTCACACATGGGTTTGATTTTGCTTTTAATCCATTCAACTGCATGGATTATCCAATCAATCAACTTTTCTTATTTCTCAAATGCAGTGAATGTGTTATTCTGTTTCGCTTTCCATTTTAATTTGTGTTGAGTGGTTCAGTTTCCATACAGGACACTTAGTCCATATAAACACATCTAATGTATGTTTGAAGGCCCAGCTCTTGATCGGTGTACAATCTGCACATCTAAACTCTGCTCTTCTGCACAATGAGAATTTGTCACCTTAGTATTTAAATAACATCTCTGTTGTGTCTGGCTTTCTCTCATACTGTCACAATATCGTTTCAAAAGTACCAAATAATTACTCTTGTTCTTGCAACTTGCTGCTGCTTATGAATGTTTGGCCAATCTATACGTTCTCTAGATTCTTTCTATACTTCCTATCCATTTACAGATTTCAGTCCGCTAAAAAGAACTTCATATTGTAATAATCCAAGTCCAACAGGTTTATTTGTGTGCGCATTTGGCTGTAGTGGCTTAGGCTTTTGTATGGCTGTTAGAAATTAATACTTTGGCAACTGCACAAAATTACATGTTGATCTTGAATC